CAAGAATTTATACAATCACACAATGTTAAATATTATTTAACACAGTTCTAAAATTTTCAAGATTTTTTTAAGAGAACAAGTTAGGGTTTAGTGCTTTTCAAAAAAAAAAAATAAATAAAATAAAGTTTAATGTTCATTAAAAGCTATAAATAATTACAGTGATTTACCATTAGTTGTTCCTTTTTTATAAAATAAAAAGACAAAAAAAAAAAAAAAAAAAAAAGTACTTGTAAACAAAGATTTGTAGATAATGTTGATAAAGACAGATGATCCATAAGATCAAAGGAAAACCAATGAAAAATACTTGAAAATTTTGAGTTTTAACGATGAGGACAAAATAAAGGGTAAAGTGAATAGTACCAAGATTGACTTTTTAGTGTAAAAATGTAGTTTTTCATTAAAATGAATAGTACCGGGAGATTTTCGTTAAAGTTGTCCAAAATCAATGCATCCAAGATGATGTAAAAAATGAAAATGCTCACACCAATGCATTCAATGGTCGTTAGACTTTATTAACGTAAGAATAAATATGGTTTAGGATGGTTTGCTTCGAACAAGTATGGTTTGTTGACTTTCGAGTTTTGATGGAGTTTCAAATTTTTTATTTTTTTAGATAAGAAGGATGGAGTTTCAACTTTTAAATGTGAGAGAAAAATTAAAAGTTGTGCAATAGATGAGATTCAAAAATTATAGAAAACTCAATTCGACCACAATTGCTTCTTTTATCTCGTCTCAAAATGTCTCTGAGCTGGCCCGGGTAGATTGTAGAATTGGGCTTTAATTGGGCTTTTTTCAAATGAGTACTGCATGGGCCTTTAGGCCATTAGCCGGTCCATAGTCCTGTCCTAAGGGTCGAGCATGATTCGGCCCGATGTAATGAAAATTTATTTATGTATTTTTTTTTTTGTCAAACGATAAATTTGTTAGATATATGTTAGATTAGGGAGCTGACAGAATTCGAACCTTTGCCATGTTACAAGGACAACACTTCTTTCCACCACTGAGGTAGATGGCCACTTGCATGAAAATTTATTAATTTGGTATAAGCTCATTTATTTGTACGGTTTAATTAATTTTTTAACAATTTAAGACTATTAATTGAATGGTAATGTATAAAATTGAATTAGAGCTCGTAGGTTCAGTTCTTAACATCAATAAAATATTTATTTTTTAGTTCAATAAAGAAATACCGTGGTCCAAAATAGGGTTGGGCCGGAAGCCCGTTTATAGGCTCGAATGTTAAGGGCCTAGCTAACTTGGCCCGTTTTACTCTTAGGGCCGAAAGTTTAGGGTCGGGTAGGGCAAGCGACCTCACTTCTTAGGCTCAGGCCGGTCCGGTCTGGCCCAATTTACAGGCCTAACAGATGGTAATGGTGTGTTCGACTTCTTCAGAAAGGCCTTCAACCGTGGATTTGTTGGGTGAGAGGAGAAAATAATAATAGGTAAAATTTACTTTTATTTTGAAGAATAGTTTTAGATGAGTGACTAGGTAAGGAGAAAAGATTTTTAGATATCACTTGGTGAGAATGGATATTGTTTGAGTACAAAGAGAAGCTCCCATTCTCTTAGAAGGTTATGAATTGATGTTCCAATCTCAAAGTTGGGCCCAAATCATTTTACAGGCTCATAGTTTCTTCATGGGTTGGTTAGTTTAAGAACGTTCTCTTCATGTTTTCAAACCTTTCTCGCTTTCTACTCGACTAACTCTTTGAAAGTTGAAAATTTGGCTTAGTCTAATGTTAATAAGGTCTTAACTCTTACCAAGGAGAGTAACTTCTATATATGGTACATGTACATTTTTTTCGTGATGTTTGTTATGATGAAATTCTGATTCAACAATAATACAGTGTCATGTGCAAAATTTCTTTAGATGACATTAAAATATCGCACGAGATGCTACTGTGTCCTTCTCTTTACGAGAGAACTCAAACTACATATTTTATTGGGGTCAAATTTTTTCCTTGTTTGGTTTGAAAAGAAAATTGTTTTTTTTTTCTTTCCGTTTTATATTCCAAGTGTAATTAGCATCAAGATAATGATTTTTATTCTTCAGACGAAACAATTCAAACACGCTAACTGGGCAGATATTTGTATTTATATAGATTTTTATTGACTAAAAGCTTGAAACTTGCTTGTCAAGTAACAACTTAGTTGCCAAAAGTCTGCATAAAATCTGTCAAAATCTTCATTATCTCCGGCACTTTCTTTTTTCCTTCAACCAATGGACTTGTGGAGTAGTGGTAGGCATGCAATCAAGCTACATGCTCTCTTGATAATATAACATTATAATCGTGTGTATATATCTATTATATACAATATGTATGTGTACATAGATATATATATATATATATATATATATATATAAAATACGCTTTCTTCTTCACTGGTCATGGTCATCCAGTACAATACTACGACTATCCAGGACACATATCATGGAATTGAGAAGGCTCCATTTCTTTTTATCAAGTGGAACCATATAATTAGGAGGAAAACTTGCCAATTATGGGTTTTTAAAATTCCTAATCACTCTTTTGATGATAGTGATAGAGAGCGATAAAGAGAAGAGTTACATAAACTTACTTCGTTTAAATATTTCACCAATTTAATTTTTAATAATTTACGAGTTTAACAGACATATAGGTTGCATGAATCGTTTCATGAAAGTTTTCACAAGTTCTCTTCTCTCTCCCGGCCCTCATCACGTCCGTACATTAGCCATGCATGCACCGCGATCTTCACATGACATGCACTGCCTTTTAGATGCTCTAATAAACCTACAAACACACCAAAAACAACATACTTTTGCTATTTTGGAAGTTTCAATACTTTGACTTTGAGGAAGCCAGATAGCTAGCAAGTTCCGAAACTGGGGCAAAAGCAAACACTGCAAAGGCCGAACAGATGTAGGCACAAAAACAAATGCCTAAACCACACATGGGCAGTTGCAATTGTTGTCAATCCTCCACTTTTGACCACATGTTTTTAGCATTTTTGCAATTTGCAACCATACCAAATAGAAAATTAGGCACATAAAGCACAAAAGTGGGCGGGGTGTGTCTATGTTTTAGAGTTCAAATTTATCCAAATTCCTAATCCTAACCAAGGAAGATGGCATTTGATGTTATTATTGCACATAAGTGTTAGATTGTTTGAGTGTTTCTCTTTATTATTGTTTGTTCTCTACGTGATTGATCATAACGTTTTGAAAATTCTATTGTGCTCTAATGTATGTCATGGACCAAAACAACCATAGTTGAATGTTATCCCATATACCAGTAGCATACTAAAATTCTCCCCCATGTCATTGTTTTTGTTTTTTTCTCTCAGTTTTGCTTTAACTTTTCATAGTCCTTGGCCTTTTTTCGAGCACACATGGAGAACATGGTTTCTGACATAATCTGCTTCCCTGGTCAAGCCAATTGTCTAATGCACATACCATATGGACCACATTCTTCCATTGAGTTTTTATGGTAATTATATATATATATATATGTGTGTGTGTGTGTGTGTGTGTGTGTGTGTGTGTGTGTGTGTGTGTTGATTTCTTGGAACCATGGCCTCAATTTTTTCTACTTTTTCTCTCAAATTATGTTATAGTAGGGTTTTGAGATGCCTCAATTTCTTTATAGAAAGAAGAACTATAAAAAGCGAAGGCCTAGAATTTGAGAACATGATCTATTCATTTGCTCCTTTTCATGTGCATCTATGAAAATCTCACTCAACTGGTTGAGATCGAAAATTCTATTATGTTCCGATGTATTTTTGGTTGTTAAATCTTAGAAATTGGATATCAGATCAAAATTTTAACAACAGAACATATCAATATTTAATATACTCAGAAGCGTACTAAAAAATCCCTACCAAGAGAAGTAAGAAAAAAGATGAGAAACTAAATCTAAGAATGTTCCTGCATTTGGTTTCTGCAGTAACAATCAATAGTTTCAATTTGCAAATTACAAATTAAATCCACCATCACAGCAACCAAACTGAAGTGGTTGAGCGCAAGGTTCATCCTGCACAGGAAATTCTGTGTTCAAATTCAAGGCAACCTTCTCCCAGCATGGACGTATGTTAAAAAATAAATAAAATAAAAAAAAAGTTGAAAAAAAATACAAAAAGCTTTCGAGTAGCTGCCCCTTGTGAAAAGCATGTCGAGGTACCAGTGACAGCAGTTACAATTGCTGGAACAAACGAGGAAAATGCTGACTAGGGCAGTGAAGGCACACCAATCCCATGTTATCTCAATTGTGCAAGAAGTATGAAACATATGCATACCAAAAGTCCACCTCTGTTGCTGTCCCTGGACCGAAAGACTTCACACGTATTGTCACATCCCACCAATTGACATTTCTAATTTGACATGACTATTTTCTCCATATGGAAGAATTCGTGAAAGAAATTACCTGGTAGGTAGGTCCAAGGAAACATGTTTCTTATTTTTTCTACTGAATTATCCCCAAAAATCAACGCAAAATCTAAGGTGCAACCAGATTTTTATCTCCCTTTCTGTATCTCTCACATCAGGTTATTTGTCAAATCATCTGGTGCAAGAGATACGAAGAGGGGATAGATAATGGGTTACAATCCCTGCAGAGATAACAAGAGGACCCAAAATTTGGAAGCAGAGCAAGAAGAGAATAAACTAGTTCTTGGTTTCACATGCATTCAACCAATAACTTCACTCAGAAGAGATTAGAAGGAGGTAAACTAAAAACAAAGGCGAAGAAAGACCGAGGAAGCCTTCAAAACTTTCTGTCCACAGGAAGAACAAATTTACCTTGCCTTTGGGAACAAAATTTCCCACCATATCAATTCGCAATCCAGAAAGGAAAAATAAAAAAGAGATCCAAAAGCCTGAACAATGTAATCGAATTTGAATGCAGAATCTGGGTACGACTTTCGTCTAATCCTCCACAAAACAGAAGAAGAATATACTACATTTATACAACACCAATGTCATCCAGTAAAAATAACAGTAGCGTTGATAGATCAGATGCAAATGAAGGGAAAATAATGAAACTAACATTTAAGAAACAAAACAAATCTATCAGCTTCTTCATAACCAACACCTTGAGGATCGATTGAACTTACAAATGAAATCGACCTTGCAAGAATACTTACACCAAAATATGTATGCTATAAAATAATCACAGAAATCTTGCTCCCTACTTGGTCATTAGGTAGTTATTTGTCTAACTCTAGCTAGCAATGCTATTCCTTTTCGGATTCCCTGCTGTATATCAAAAACATCTGAAGAAACTTTTAAATGGGTTCTTCAGTATTATACCTTGGATTATGTTAATTGCAGTTCTCGCACTACCCGACTGATGACAATGACTGTAATGAGTTGGATTCCCGGGAAAATGCTGCAATCAACTTCTCCTTCGTCAACTGCTCCGATCCTTGAGACTTCACTACAAAAGTATGGGAGACAGTATTGTCTGCTGCTGCAAGTTTTGACTCAACAACTGTGATTTGTGCCTCTTTGAATGCTTCGATGACTCTTGATGCAGGGTGTGAATCCAAAGGGCAGCTCACCCTTACGATAACCTCATCGTTAACAGCTTGAACATCGACATCAGGTGCCTGGTTCTGAATTCCAAAACCTGAGCTAGCCCCCAAAGCTGACACATCTTTTGAAGTGCCACCGAGGTTCTCCCTCTCTGTTTCCATGACTTTAAGCTTCGCCTGGAGCTCGTTGATGTAAGCAATGGCATCTCCCAACAAGGATGCTTTGTCCATCTTGGATATATTGGGAACAACAGCTCTTAAAGCATAAAACCGCTGGTTTAGCTTCTCTCGCCGCTGCCTCTCTGCCTCCACATGATTGAGTGGTTCTTCTCTTCCATTTGCAGGCTTCCTACCCCTTTTCCGCGGCCTCCTTTCATCAGCTGTGCCTGGCTGGTCTTCCTTGCATGGCGCTTCAGCATCTGAATTTTCAGAATCCACAACAATGGGTCGGGAAACGACAGAAGGCCTTGAGGTGGTCCCTGAAAAGTCAATTTGTATTGGCACCTGCTTCTGTGGGTGATAATGGTTATGCCGAAAATCATCCCTGACAAGCTCCTGTAAATTATTCACCGGACTTTGAGAAACATGCATCTCAATTGGGCTCCCCTGTTTCATATCATGAATATTCGCCCAACTTGAACCATGAATACCATTTCGGGGACTTGAAAATGCAATCCTATTTCGATTTGAGTACACATCGCACGGCCTCTCCTCCAACTTTCTAACAGCAAGTTTTTCTCTATAACGAGGCCGGACTGAGTTCCCCGAGTTCAACTCTTGCCCGAAAATCTTGGGAACTACTTCCTCTCTCTCCACAGGACTCAAATTAGTTAGTTGGACATTTTCATCTATCCTCCTTCCAATCACCGGCACACCTGCCACTGGCTTGGCCCTTAAGAGCGAGGACTGTGTAGAAAACAGTGACCTTATGGACTGCAACAACTCTAATCGCTCCCCTATGGATCTCACCGAACCCAATTCAACTACACCAACATCTGTTGGGACTAAAACAATGGTCTGAATTCCAGCAGATTCGGCAAGAAACGATCGAACACAATACTCCGACCCTGATTTCAATAAGTCCAAGAGCCAGACATGCTTCCCAGATGCCAAGCACTTGCCAGGACCCCCTTCTCCTCTTGGAAATGAAAAATACATCGACGCAAGCAAGAACATCTCCATATCAGTGACCCGGTCTAATCCAAGAGCACCATTATACTCATCTGAGCTCCCAAACAAATTGTGTAACTTTTGCAGCACTATCTTCCTCATCCTTTGCTGGGTCCCATCCTCAAGCCTAAGACCGAGAATCCTCGTGGTTTCGGACTCTTCATCTTCCTTAGGCTCTCTACAAGAACCATCACCCCAACACAAAACCCAATCCCCAGACTTGGACCTAGAAATCTGCCAGAAAATGGCATAATTCCAGCTAAAATTCGATGCATTCGTACGCTCCACAAGATCCGAGAGCTTGTTGTGCAAATTCTCATCAGTCCCTATCCCCATACACGAATTCTCAATCAAAGAAACCGAGCTCGAAATCAAGTAATCGACAGCTCGAGTTCCTAAAACTGCAGCAACCATGGCCTTATCTTCATCATTCCAAACCCCTCCTCCTAAACCCATCTCAATCTTCATCTCCAAAATCCAGAAAAATCAACAACCCTACAAAAGGCAAGCTAAATTTTCGAAACCCAGATCAAATCTCAGCCTCAAATACCCCCAAAACCATGAAAAATACAAACTTTTTTTGCTAAAACCAAAACCTTATACATTCAACCAAATCAAACAACCCAGCAGGGCTACAATTTCAGATCTAAAACATCCATAATTCCAAGTGAAAAGCAAAACCCAAAAAAAATATAACAAATCAACCCAGAAAACACCAAGGTTAGGAGAAAACTGCACACACCAGCTTCGGCAAGCGAAATGGGATCATGAGAAGATGATTGGGTAAGGCAGCCAAGGAAAACGAATGTTGGGCACAGCAACCAGTCTTCAGCTGCAGGAAAAAAAAATTTCCCGGAAAACAAACAGGCAGCTATTTCAGAAGCAACAATGAAAGCCCAGAAAAAAGGTCTGGCCTTTGGTCTGTTTAAAGCAAAGGTGTGGAGCTTAGAGAGAGAGAGAGAGTTGAGAAACTGGGTTTTGTAACGTATGTTGTGTGTTCTTTCACCTAAATCCAAACAGCATGAGTAAACCGTGGTTAAAAGCTTAAGCTTTGATTTGGGGTTAATTTTGAACCGTGGTTAAAGCATTTTGTTGCGGGTGTTGATTGACGAGTAGTCGGCAAAGATTCTCGTGTGTGTGTTTGCCAAATGAGAAGCACATGTAAAAGGCACATCGAATTCACACTAAACAAATTTATTACTGTTATTATATTATTATATTAACATTCTAAAAATTTTATTTTACATTTTAAATTTTATATAATTAAAAAAAGCACACTGTAGTGTGAAATAAAAATTTCAAAATGCTAATAATAATTCTCTTGTTATTTATTTATATAATTTTTTTTGAACAAACGATATTATTTATCTTAAAAAAAGTGGATGGGTTTAGCTTTATAATAGAGTTGGACTAGTAATAATATGATTCAAATTTGCTTTTGGCTAGAATTAAACTTAAGACTTCTCACTTATAAATAAATAAAAAATATCATTTAATGTAATACTAAGTGGTTGTAAAATATGATTTATTAGGATAAGTATAGTTAGCAAGAGCTCCGGTACTGTTCACTTTTAACGAAAATGACATTTTTACTTTAAAAAGTCACTTCTGATATTATTCATTTACAATAACTTTTTATCATTTTGATTAAAACTCAAAATTTTTAAATTCGTTTCATTAATTTTCTTTTTAAATTCTTGGTCAAAAGGAAAAACACGCTAGAAATGATGATTTGTGTGAGTGAAAAAGTGGGTTTTATGTCAGACCCAAAAGAAGAAAAAAAAGAGCGACTTTTGTGATTCTCATGTCCAATATTGGCACGCAATAACGTGTGGTTGTGGTTAACGGACAACCTGCGACTCACATCCTTTTTTATTTTTATTATTTTCATTTTCTTGTTTTAGGGGTGTTTTTCAATGAAACACATTTTGGTCGTGTTTTCATTTTTTCATTTTTTTGGATAGTGAGATAGATGTGGCATTACAGACAAACTATGTTTATTTGGGATAAACTTACTTTTTATTTTATTTTTTTTATAACTGAGTTTTTTTATTGCTGAACAATAGTACAAAGAGTTTTTGAGAGCAAGGGGAGCTTCATTAAAAAAATAAAAAATTAATGAAAAAAAGTTTAAAAACTTTAAATTTTAATAAAAATGATAAAATAAAAGGTAAAGTAAATAGTACCATAATTGACTTTTTAATATAAAAATGTGATTTTTCGTTAAAGTAAACATTATCGGAAGGTTTTCGTTAAAGTTCATTTATAAGTATAAAAGAAAAAAAACGCTGAACCAGCTTACTCACTAGTTACAATCAATTATCATTAAATTAGCCTCATTCATCCATATATTTGTTGTTTTATTATTATTATTATTATTATGAGACAGATTTAGGCGCGTAAGAAAGACGTTTGAATTTACTATTTATTTTATATTTGTTGTTTTACTATTGATATTCATATCTCGTGACCTACTTTCATGATATTATCTGCACATATGATTACCTACAACATATATATACGAAACAGATTTAGGCATGAAAGAAATGTGTCTGAACTTACTACTTATTTTATAATTGTTGTTTTACTATTGATATTCGTACCTCATGACCTACCGTCATCATATCATATGCACTTGTAATTACCTACAAAGTATGTATCCGAGACAGCTTTAGTCGCAAAAGGAAGACGTTTGAACTTAACACTTATTTTATATTAATTTTTTTTGTTATTGATACTCTTATCCTGTGGTCTACTGTCATGAAATTTTCTACATATTTGGTCACCAATAAGCTATATATATATATATGAGATAGATCCATGCATAAAACAAAGATGTTTGCTTACTTGTTATACCATCTTGTTGGTTTGCTATTGATATTCATGGTTCATAATCCACTGTATTATGACTCCTCAAACATGTAATCAACGACAAACTATATTTATCAAATAGATTTGAGATCGAAACGAAGACGTTTGAGCTTGCAACTAGTTCTGTACTCGTTTAATTATAATTGACAAACTATATGGTTAAGATAAACCTGAATGGAAACCAATTCATTTTCCATATTTGGTTGTTTTACCATTGTCAATTTTTCAATTTGGGATTCACTTTTTAGCTAAATTGTCACATCTCGGTCCCGGTCCCCACCACATTTCGGGCTCAACTCTACCGTAACACGATATTGTCCGTTTTGGGCTCCGACCACACCCTCATTGTTTTGTTTCTGGGAATATGTTCTATTGATAAGAATTCTAAGATATGATTTAATAATTGTTTTAGGCGGCAATCATTCGTGATGCCTTGATGTATGTGCTAAGGAGTTGTAGCACGGACTCCAGGTGAGTGGGCTTTTCGGTTTTCTATATATACGTATATATGTTTCCCATTTTTCCCAGAAATGGTTTTAAGTGGAATTTCGTTTAAAATGCCATGTCATGGTTGCTTTACATTTTAGCCTATGCATTAGTATAGCTTTGCATAATGTTGCATGATGTTGCGGAGCCCAAGTAAACTACAGGTGAGTACATTATGATGTTAGTGGTTGTGATGTATATGGTTATGTCTGGATGCATTTGGTACTCATTATCCTGCAACCCGGTGTTAGTGCTCCGCTCGAGGTCAGGGCCAGCCTTCACGTGATCGTTCACCTCCCGCACCGTAGGCTCACCTTGGATCCAGGGCAGGTGACAACCTGTCATACAGACCACATTAGGTGGTTCCAACTCGTAGGTGACTAGCAATACTTCGCACAGCCTTCACGTGATCGTAGCACTTTAGCGTATTTATTTACACACAACCTGTCCTACAACCTACATTAGGTGGTTCCAACTCGTGTGCAGGTTTAGAGTCGTACATGTCACGTTAAATGACTCCGGCTGGCATATCAATTTACATTAATTTATTTCACCTGGCATACTTATTTCTTTGCTGAGATACTTGACATGACATATACTTGGTTTTCACTACTCTCGAGTATGATTTCTATATACGTATGTATTATTATTTTCTGGGAAATTATACGGATTTTACGGTGAGAGGTTATAATGTTTTCAAAAATTTTTTATTAAAAACTTTATTTTCAGGCTCACTCACCCTTGTTTTTGCGCCCCTCAAGGTTTTAGCTGTTGAAAGTTCGTATCGACGAGGATTTGTGGTGAATCTCAGTATAGGTGGCTACCTCTGAGGGTATGATCCTTACCCACACTATTGTACTTTACTTATGCTCTAACGTTGCTTGTGAAACGGGCTCATTCCCGCTTGCAATGCACTCTGGCCTTTAGGCAATTTTAGGGTTAAATTTATTCACATTTTCCACATCACTATAATTTATGGCTTCGTCACCTTCCAAGGTGTCGGCGAACACAGCTCGATTCGGAGTCCTAGTGGACATTCCGGGTTGGGATGTGTCATAAATGGTTCCTTGAGATTGACATAACTTCTTACTTTGGTTCCTAAGATTTGAAATCGATAAAAGTGGTCCTGAATTTGTCTACCATCAATCATTTTGGTCATTTTGAGAAATATTCTAATAAATAAACGACCAAAATGACACAAATAACCTCAATTTAATAAACAATGGACAAAAATGATTTGACAAAAATTGAGGGCTTTTTGTCCTTTTATCATTATTTAATAGAGATTTTTTACGGAATGAACAAAATAATTGATGGTGAACAAACTTAGGGACCATTTATATTGATTTCAAATCTCAAGAACCAAAGTGAGAAGTTGTATCAATCTCAGGGATCATTTTGACTAAAAAACCTTTAAGATTTACTAACTTTTAGGGCCCGTTTGGTGGGTTGAATGAAATTAAACTTTGGAAATAATAAACTAGACTCAAGTCCATTTTAATTAATCACAGCTTATCCCAACATGCCACCAAACATGTTAGGCACTTACCAATATGCTAGTAGGTTTAATATCATAGATTAGACATCAGTTTTCAAGAATGATTGGAGATTCGAAAGAAATTGTTGGAGGTTGGGAAAGGTGATTGTGGTTCCTTTAATTTTTGTTTTAAAAGATTTATGCAGATATGGAAAAAATAGTACTGCTGATTTTATTCAAAGCTTCAATTGCATTAGGATTCTTTGTCTAAGTAACATCATGCTTTCTTTTTCCATAGAATAAATAAGTAAGTTCATCATGTTGAAAGTCCTTAGCTAAACAAAGACGTGTCTGCAGTATCAAAACAAATAAATTAGTTAAACACACATCCAGCAAGCTAACTCATATTTGGACATCACACAATTTAAGTTCCACTCACTTACTACATTACACACTAATATTATTAAGGTAACCTATTATTCGAGTCACTCGTTAAAATTTGTAGACATACAAGTGACACTATTGAATTTCACTTATTATTGTGGACAAGTCCCGATTTTATTGAACGAAGAGAGAGGTGCGGCAAAGAGAAAGGGGAGAGTATAGGGCTTAGGGAAATAGTAGGATGATATGTCATCTGTGTCAATGTCTTTACTTATAGTAAACCAAAAAGAGAGAGAAACCAAATAATACAAAACCTAATAGTATAGAATCACTAGATTACATAAACCAATGATTACACAATCACACAATGTTAAATATTAATTACGACACTCCTCCTTGAGTATGAGTTAATGCAAAGTCAAGATTAAACGTCTATAGGACATACACAAGGGGTATGACCATCCAGGATAGGTGTACTCGTTAAAACCTCATTAGGTAGCAAAAACCCAAGGGAAAAATGCTCTTAATTGTGGGGGGGGAAAAAAAGAGTACATTAAGCTCAAGTGAGTATATTTTAGAATACTTTCTTTAAGTTTGAAAAAATTTCCAAATGAGAACTAACAATGTTGCAAATCAGACAGTTTATGCATACCAATTTCTCAAACAATCTTTTGAAAGTAGGCTTTGACAATGACTTGGAGAAGATGTTAGCTAGGTTGTCTTAGGATTGGATTTATTTAACTTCAATCTTCTAATGTTCTTGCTATACATGGTAG